CGATGTGCGGGAAAAAGAGTGGATACAGTATCATAAAACTGTTCCCATGTAAGTCGGGATAGATGAAACTTTGTTTCATGTCCCTTGTCTCAAGCCTCAGTTGTTATATCGGGACGTTTCAGGTCAGCGTCTAACTTCCGAATATAACTCTGAATGGGTGTATTCTCGGCTGGTTCATTTAATATTGAACTCAGCCCAGGGCTACGCATATCCTTACTTAACAAGGATGTGACCAACCAACACACAGCTGGCCAGTCACGACAAGTGTCTAGCTCATGCTGGTGTCGCTGCAGGATCAGATAAATGGTACCTGTAGGGTCAAATACCTGCATTAAGGCAGAGATTCATCGCTGGGGAGCGATATCATTCGTCTCCAGCATTACCGTAAACGCATTAAGCGTACAAGTTAGCGTGTCGAGGTCATGGTTGTTCATAAACTCGACCTGCTTGCCGTTGGCATCCCAGTTCTACTTAAGTCGACTGATCTGTCCCTTGTACTTCTGATTGTCCCTGTGGTCTTGTCCACGTTGGGCCTGAAATAATTGGTCTATGCGCTTTTGCTTAATCGCAAGCACCATGGGCGACTTCCATTTTATTGGTATATTCGTCGACCGATTTATTAAGGTCGGTCACCTCGTCAGAGTGGAAATCCTCTGCGGGTTGGTGTAAAGCCGTGCGGTCGAAGCGATTAAACTCGACATCGTTCACACGTCTGCGGGGATGATTAATATCCCTTGGCGTCGGAATAACATACCCAGTCTTAACTGGTTTCCGACAATTGTTCTCCCAATTGAGTACTAGTGGCGGAGTATATTTCCTTACCTCTCGGTCTATAATACCTTTGAGTACAGGTGACTCACGACCAGATGTCAGAACAGGCGAATAATTAGCCTGTTTTTCCTGGCAGTAATGCCTCGTACGGTATATCGACGCTGTGCATCTCTGGATCATATGACTCAGGTGTCGAGCTTGAGTCTTTAGGCGTGATTGCCTGTCGACGTTCTGTCCACTTCTGTAGGGCTTCAGTAATGCTCGGGGAAACATGCTCGTGTAAGCGCTGTGTATGTTTTCCTGATCTTTCTAATTGATCTACATGCTCGACAGTCAAGTCTTTCATAATAGTAGCTAACTGATTCTTAAGATCAGCGTATTTAGTAATTAACTTATTAATGTGCTTCGGCTTAGAAGTCTCGGACGTAGATTCGGTTTTGCTACTTGAGCTTGCCCCCTCTTCTGGTTCCATAATAGGTTCCTTCTGAGATTTGTCCTTGTCCCCTATAATTGGGGACGCCCTCATAATTGGGGACTTTCCTTTCTGATTTTCGTCAGAAGAATGGGGTGGGGCGTCTTGCAACGTATCCCTTGTCTCACTTCTTGGATTCGATAATGCAAGCTTTGAAGTTGAGGCTATAGTTGACCCTCGGGCTCTGTCAGAAGGAGTAGTCTCCTTAAGTGGAGTGGCTACTTCCTTATCATAGTACGAGGAACTTAAGTTTTATAAATGTACTCTTAATAGTACGAGGAACTTAAGTTTCCTAAAATGGTTTCTAATGGTTTTATTAATTAATACCTTTTCCATTTTCCATATCAGATATTTGGACGAGGCCATTAAAAGGCCTCAGTAAAATACCAAACATAAAGAGTTGGTCTAGTTCTATTAATAGAACTTTATTTACTTTCCAACTTTATTTGTATCTGAATTCTTCGATAGCGAAATGGCTCAACCGAATATAGGTTTCTAAGGACTATTAGCGTTGCTTAGTTGATCCTCCGATCAGCCAACCAGATGTGCTAGTCTGATGAAGGCTAAGTCGGTAATTCTTGATAAGTGGCAAGTTATTGGTTAAGACAATAACTAAGGACATCAAGAGTATTTTTCTTTTTTTCTTCTTTTTTTTCTAAAGATAGGATTTTATGAGTCTCTCGGATTCGACCCAGTGAAACATACCATAGTTTCTAATAGAACGACAACGAAACACTAAATAAAATCCCTTCGGCGGAAACAGTACTGAGAGGATTATATATAGGCAATGTCTCAGCCTCACAATCCCTCAGAGTATTGCTGTTTTCACGAGGCATACCCAACTTTACTAAAAGACTCATTTCATTTATTTACTTTGATATTTACAAGATACTTAGAATTTACCTACGCGTTTATTTATTCTAAGGCATCACGCCATCGACTGGCCCTTGTACAACTGGGGCTTGTTGGACAGCGTGTTTGAGCGCTTTAAATACGTCATCCCACTCTTTAGTCCACAAGTCTCCTAGTTTGTCTTTATGACATCTTAAGTGTCCAAAAGGTTTAAGGTAGTCAGCTATGTGTAGTACTCCATCTGAAAAAAAGTTTACAAACCCACACATGCTGTTAACATCTCTTCCTGTAGCTGGTGTTCGCCAATCTAACAGGTGTTCTACCTTACCGGAGTCGATTTTAATACCTTCCCCAGATATATGGTAGCCTAAGAGCTGTATTTCGCTCATTGCGAAGTGACATTTGTTCTCGTTAATCTTGAAGTTTTGCTCACTGAGTCTCTTAAGAACTCGTCTGACTAATGCGGCGTGTTTACCTGTAGTCTTAGAAAAGATGACTATGTCAAAATCGGATGATGGGGCATAATTGGGATCAAATGCTTTCAATCACAGAAGAGGTTTGTAAGATGTGTCGCACATGTTTATGTAATGACACTATGAAGAAGAGATCTCATACTTTAATGATTATCACTGCACGTTATTCATGGGATTGTGTTTAAAAGAATCTCATTTCGATGGCAATCACGTTCACTAAAGGCAACAAGTTTATTCTGCATATATTGAATGTGGCATTTTATTCTACGAGCACTACCTGCAAAGGATGCTAAGACTTGGCGACAGAGTTAGTATTGATATTTTGTAAGCATAACTTTCCTCGGAAAATTTAGAAGTGATGAGGGGACAGAACTTGTCATTAATATTGTAAAGTCTATTACACGAGCACTCGGCATTGTGCACAAGACAACTCAACCATGCCGACCTTGGGTGCAGCAGATGAGCGCCGACACAAAAAAATTCACAAATGTGTGCGCGTACTTTGTGTTGGCTGCCCGGTTGAGATACACTCCACTGTCTCCCATGACAGAGCACTCTCCTAGCAACTTATAAAATGTATCTTTCTTACACACAGGTCTGTGTAGCTACTTGCAGATCAATGCTATGATCAGGGTAAATAAGTAAAAGATATTTACAATGTCTAGATGCTGACATTGCTACTAGTTTGTTGTATTACGATGTTGCTTCTAATCTCTAGGCAAATTATTCTAACATTCTACCTAGCTTGTCTTTTTTTCTCGAGTGTCACAACCTTCATTAAACCCACCTATACATTTACTTATCCCTCTGGTAGAGAGGAGAAAACATTGATATTACCATACACTTACTGTTGCTTAGTTGTGATAAACTGTTGAGCATTGAAATGTTTCATCATTACCAGTTTCAATGAAGAACTCTGAGGCATCAACCACGATTTCAAAATTCGTGTGCTCCTTCTGAGAGCAAGGAGGCCTTAAGCCATCCACAACATTATATATCAGGTCTGAGAAGATTTATTTAGATATGTTTCGGATGTTGGAATCAACCAAGCTTTTTAACGCCCTTGGCTAAGAACGAAGTTTACTGTCCTCTTAATTATGTGTTATGAATACAGACGCAGAATTTCATTGTATTGCCAAAGTACATTGATACATGAGATTTGTCTCTATTGAATTGTGGCTGATCTCGATATTGTTCCTCGTCCTGAATTTGCTGTGACAAGTGCAAAGTCTTGGCATCGGCACGGCATTAGGAACAAGTGTCGTTGTTTTTGTATTGTTAGACTTAAAAGAAACCTACACAAATGTGCAGCTTGTCACATATAAATAGTTGCTTTTTGTATTCTAGTTCGGAATCACTTGTGTGGGTCTCTTTCTGAATCGCCCTAACCGCTTCATCAATGTTGAAAACTGTTACACCTTGCGTCTGTGAGGCATCCGACATCCAGGGTTATCTTGTAGCACTAATCTCATTCTCACAGTATTCTGCGCAACACCATGTCATTCTATGTAAGGGCTTACTGTAGCGGTAGTACAATTGTGTGGAGTGTGTGTGCGTGTATGTGTGTGCTGGTGTCCACATGCCTATTTTTGAAATGATTTTTAGTATTTATGGTAATAAGCTTGGAAACGGTTTCTCAGAGGTGTTCTAAAAATCGACTGTTTTCATTTTATATATATGGTTTTTAATTTGGTTTAAAAAAAAAGCGTTTATAAGAACTATCCTGTGGCATTTCTGGCTTGGGGCCTTGGGGCCTTGGGGCCTTGGGGCCTTGGGCCTTGGGGTTTGGGCTTGGGCTCTGGCTCTGAAATCAAAACCCAATGGCCATAAATCCGTAGTTACGTACAGTACAATGTACATAAATGAATCTCCAAAAACAGATTCATGAGTCATCACTGTCATGAGTCATGAGTCATCACTCATCAGTCATCATCTGGCTGTAAGTATGGGACCCGCCAAAGTTCGAGGTACCGAAGAGTCTCGAAAATTCATAGGAATCCCCTAAAGCCTCTGAGTCTGAGGGCTGAGGCAGTGAGGCTCGTCTGCTCTCCAGACTCCAGTGACCAGTCTCCAGTCTCCAGGTCGTCCAGAAGAAATTAAAAAAAAAATACATTTCATCCAGATCGCCATGATGGAATCCCGCTACATACTCTACAAAAAACATCAGTTCGGTACAGGTACCTCCGAGAAAAAAATGTCTACGGTAAATAAATGGTTGATGAGTCATGGTGTTCGATTTGACGCTTCGGACAGTATCGCCGGTACGCTGCCTCGAAAAATCAAAATAAAGAAAAGGTGTTGTTCTGTCACTTCTGAGTCGAAGATATTTACATATCTGATGGTAAACATCTCTTGGACCTTCAGAGCCGGAAGTCCTACTTGCAATACACCTAAAACAAAGTAGCACGTCGGATCATCTAGAATACACGATAATGCCACGTATAAGTGCTTTAGCGCTGACTGTAGTGCTACTGGCGCTCTTCAGCTATGTAAATGCCATCGGTGTAATATCCATCGATTTTGGTTCAGAATGGTTGAAGATGGGTTTAGTAAAAAGGGGAGTACCAGCTGATATAATTCTAAACGCCGAGTCGAAGCGTAAGACGGACATGGTTTTACATCTAGGGCCAAAAGAACGTACCTTTGGGGCGGCTGCAGCTGTATCAGGTCTACGTTTTCCCGAGAAAACATTCGGCTACTTATTACCGCTAGTCGGACAAATGTTCGAAGGACCCATCGTGCAAAATTTCATAAAAAGGGTATGTTCTATCTAGGAAACTGAACGCTGCGCATTTGTACACTGTACTTCTGAGCTATGATCCCTTAGTTTCTTAGGAGCATAAACATACACAATTCTCTGCGGATATGACCTCAAATAAGGCGCGGAAGCCGAATAGTTTTACAATGAATGAGGTATAATTAAACGCACTAGAGAATACACATACACGCGCGCACATACAAACACACAAATATACATGTACACAGAAACACACAAAAACACACACATAAATATACGTATATACACACAGAAATATACACCTGTAAACACATTCACCCCCCTTTCTTTCACACACACACACACACACACACACACACAACAACACACACACACACACACACACACACAA